GAGGGGAAGGATCGGAGAAAGCCGAGCGGCTTCTTGGGGAGAGAGAGTGAGCCGAGGCCCCTGTCCCCGAGGCTCGAGACTAGAGGAGGCGGAGGGAAGTGCGCGTCACTCCGGGAGGAGAGTGTTTCACCTCCAGGCTGAGGCTGCGGCTGCCAGTTGCGTAAAAGCAGCGCCGGCGGCGGCGGTGGCGGCGGCACTGGGCGCCCGGGCTCGACGGGCTTCCTGACCATGGAGCTGAGAGCCGGACCCGGGGACGCCAGGAGCTCCGCTCGGTCTCTTGGGACCACTGTGTAGGCACCTGAGTTCACCGACGCCAAGCGGGGGAGGGGCAGGTAAGAAGCGAGGGGTCACCCGCCCTCGGTCCGGTCTCCCGTGCTGCCCCAGGGGACCACTGCGGTGGCGCGGACCTCCGGTGGCGCGCACCTTCCCGGCTCCTGGCAGCTTGGCCCACCCCGGCGTTGGTATTCTGCCGAAATGGAAAATATCCTCCTGTCCCCCGCTGCACCCTCCCACCCGCTCCCGCGCGCCTCTTTCCCGATCTCTTTTCGGGATTAGGAGTAACCAGACTCCCTGTCCATAAGAAAGGGTCTTCGGGAACTGTGTCTTGGTTTCTTTCTCTCCCTCTCTCTTTTCATTGCGTTTAAGGGGAAGGAAACAATGGACCTTTGAAAGTCGGTGTGAACAGACTTAAACTTTGCGGAGACGGTGAGGGTAGGGGAATAAACCCCACAGGAAGCTGTCCGGGAAAGGTTGATGGAATGTGCATTGTAGAGCCTTGGCTTCAGTGCGCGCGCGCGTGCGGGTTTGGGGTGATCTTTGTCTCCTTACTGTTATTCTGGGTTGATGGGTCCTCCGCCCCTCCACCTCGCATTCTGTTAGTTAAGGTAAGGTGAGTCTTGAAAATCTCCCGCAGCCTATTCGAAGCTCGGGAATAACTTTTTAGCTCTGGACCCCATTCTAAAGAGTTAAGAAGTTATAGAGTAAGAAGGGGGCACTCTTGTGAGGGCCTGAAGTGCTGCAGTCGAGGCTAACTCTTGCATCCTTAGCAATAAAACCCAAGTCCTGAACTTACTTCCCTCGATGCACGCTGGTGAGGGTTGATGTGTGTCACCAGACCTCGCTGTGGAGCGGAAACAGCACACTTAAATTCTCCGCATAAGGTTAGGAAAACAGACATTGATGTATTGTCTGTCTCCTTTCATCAGCAGCTGGGCTGAAGGACTGAGTTCCTGGTAATTTTAAGAACTTTCATTCATCACATGAACCTCTGGTTGCCTTTCGTTTACTCTCCTTGTTCCAATGTGACAAGGTGGTGTGGTGCTGCACCCTTGCACGTGTTGAGAGTGGGCAGATGTCTTGTGAGCGCTTCCCAGTAAAAGTGAGAATTAGAGAAAGGGCAAAGGAGAGGCTTCACCTTGGCTGAGGGAGGCCTGACTCTACAGGGAATCACCCATTTAGAAACAGACATTAAAAATGGCTACAAGGTTCTTTGGTGGGCTAGAATGGAACTGTTAATGTTTAAAGCTTGCTCTTTTCAAAATTGGTCAGAGTATCATACTCTAGTTATGTGCCTTCAATTACCTACCCATAAGGTTCTTCTGGGTTTGCATTTCTGGGCAAAGCAGAAGACTGTGCAAGTAGGCACAGTCTCCCGAGTAATCACTGGGTAGCGTTTCATGGTGCTTTGTCTTTATATTGAAATGGCCCCCCTCCTCTTTCTGTGTTCTTCCTGCACTAGAGGATTGGAGTGGGTGGAACTGGAAGTCTGTCTCCTGGCTTTCAGGTGAGTCTATCTCCTGCAATTAAAAAAAAAAAAGAATTATTTAATTTTATTTATCATTATTTTTTTTAAGAGGTTTTTGTTATAGGGTTCATGCACTCACCAGAAAGACAGACAGAAAGTGAGAAATCACCACCACCACCCCAGGGGGGATGGTCAGCTGCAATCCTTCTCCATTCTCTCAGGATCTTGGGCACGCACGCACATGCATCTGGCGTGAGTTTAAGCCACCAGGTCGGGGACTCGAACCACCTTTGACTACATGGGAGTCCAGTGACATAGCCATTACGCCACCGCTGGTCCCTCATGTATCATTATTTTTTAATTCAGAAGAGAGAGAGAAAATGAGAAAGCATACTGCCAGGTCTGGGACCTAACCGTTTGAGAGTCCAGTGCCCCAGTCACTGTGCCACCTGCTGGCCCCTATCTTATGCAGTTTTATCTGATGAATGTGTGCTTACCAGCTCAGAAAACTCAGGTGAATTCTGAGTCATCACCTGTTCTACGTTATCAGCTTGTGAGGACGGTAACCTGAGGACTGACCCATGCTTGTGTGGATAGGGAAGTGGTATGTGTAAATTCTTCCGCGGTGTTTGCTTGGGTGTCTTGTGTCACGGGTAGTTGAGTAAAGTCTCCTTCCGTGATCTAGCCTGTAACCTGTGAGTTTTCAGAAGTCTCAGATTCACGAGAAGCTAGAATAGGGCAACACTGCAGTCATGTTCTAATAGACCTAATCCAGCCTGTCCTCTAACAGCCATCTAGAGAAGGAAGAAGAGACAAAGGAGAGGGTAAGGTAGCCTTGTGGGCCATTTCTGAAGCTGAAAGGTACTACTCAGAGCCATGTGCCTTTGGCCAAGTTTCTGAAACCAGAAAAGATAAACCACATTTCAGAAAGAGAAAACTGAATAATCACTGTTCAATTCAGTTTCAGACTCATATAGACTGCTGTATGGAAATGGGCACCTTGAGTGGAGGCCCACTAAAATATTTATGAATATTGCCTCATTCATTCATCTCCCCACCCAGCATGTATTCAGCTAACACTTATTCATCACTTACTGTGTTCCAGACCGTCTGGGTGCAGCCTCAGCACCTACCTTATGAGTGTTCGGGCTGTGAAGGGGAGGGTGTTAGATGGGGTGTTTGCAGCTCTGGAGCCTAGGGGAGAGGATGTCTGTAGTGGTTTCCATTCATAACGATGAGTCAGAACTGATCTTGGCTGTTGAAGTAATTCATCTGGCCAGGGAGACAAGGAAATGAACAATTAGAAGGTCTAGGAAGCATAGGGTTCTTTTAAGAAGTCAGAGGAAGAATACCTTGGGGGTAGGGGAGTGATTTTGTGAAAAATAAAACTTACAAAATCAGATAAGAGGCGCTGAAAACTGGTGTCAGAAGTATCATTTTAAGTGTAAGGACCGGAGGACTTGAAGTCAGACGTGGGTTTGAAACAAAAGGTCTGACAATTACTGAACCTTTGCTATTGGGCAGATCTCCTAATCCCTCTTCTAATGTTTTGTCATCTGTAAAATGGGTTTAAAAATGCTTTGTTGGAGACCAACAGATGGCATAATGGTTACGTCGCTGGACTCCCATGTAGTCAACCGTGGTTAGAGTCCTGGACCCAGCGGCTTGAAACTCATGCTGGGTGCGTGTGCATGCATGCCCAAGATCCCAAGAGGAGAATAGAGGAGAAGGGATTGTGGTGTGGCCATCTCCTCTGGGGGATGATTTCTTGCTTTCTGTCTGTCTCTTGTCTCTTGTGAGCACACATACCCTATAGCAAATACTTCTCTAAAAAAATGCTTTGTGGGACCAGCAGTTGGTGTAATGGCTGTGTTGCTGTACTCCCATGTAGTCGACCGGGGTTTGAGTCCCGGACCCGTGGCTTGAACTCACACTGGGCCTATGTGCGTGCATGCCCAAGATCTGGAGAGAAGAATGGAGGAGAAAGGACTGCAGCGTGGCCATCTCCCCGGAGGGGGGGAGGTGATTTATGGCTTTCTGTCTCTCTGTCTCTCTCTCTCTCTTTCTGGCGAGCACACACACCCTATAGCAAAAAAATCTCTCCAAAAAAAACAATGCTTTGTGGAATATGTTCAAGATGAAATTCAATTTGCTCTGTGTATGTTCGAATACTGTGCAAGCTGGTGCTGTCTGGTATCAAAAGGTACTTTCAAAATGTGTGACCATTGGGACCAGCAGTTAGCGTAATGGCTATGTTGCTGGACTCCCATGTAGTGGACCACAGTTCACGTCCCAGACCTGGTGGCGTAAACTTATGCCGGGCGCGTGTACATGTGTGCCCAAGATCCCGAGAGGAGAATGGAGGAGAAGGGATTGCGGCGTGGCCATCCCCCCCGGGGGGTGATTTCTCACTTTCTATCTCTCTGTCTCTGTCTATCTGGCGAGCGCACGCGCCCTATAGCAAAAACTTCTCCAAAAAAAAAAAAAAAGTGTGACCATTTTAAAACTATAAATAATGGGGTGTAAGTTGCAGCTTAATCAAAATGGTCTCTCCATTTTATTGACCCTCGCCAGAATGTTCTGAAGTCCATCTTGAGCATGAGTCTTCAGACTGTAGGCTGTGTGTTGTCATACAGTGTTCCCCACATGTCCAGGCTTCTTCCCATCTTAACCACAGGAAATCTTTTCATTTCATTTGAGTTGTAAGCATGAATTAGGACATGGGCCATCTA